TGTGTTTTTGCACATGTGAAATTCATGTGGTTTTTCTGTAAGGATATATATATATACATCTCATATATATATGAGATGTAATTAGAAACAATAAGCGTCACACATTTAGAGATAAGTGTTAGATGAATATTCACTATTGATAAAGCAGTACTCTTTGTTTTAGCTCATTACCTTTGCATTTGTGATTCTATAGTGACTCTCATTTTATCTGCAGGACCCATCATTAGAGCTGAGGTTGGTGAGAGGATTCAAGTTGTGTTTAAAAACAATGCCAGGAGGCCATATTCTATTCATGCCCATGGAGTGAAGACCAGTAAAACCCATCAGGATGGTGTTCAACCAGGTGTGTTATTACAAAGATTTGTCTAATTTGTCTTTTTATATGGGCAGGAGTGATTCAATAGTATACCAATAAGTATACCTCTCCGTGTGTTATAGGTCATATACTGACATACAACTGGACCATTCCAAAACGATCAGGTCCGGGTCCCAGTGATCCAAACTGTATAACGTTTGCCTACTACTCCTCTGTCAGCTTAGTTGAGGTATAAAGATGAAAGCAAGAAGTGAAGTTGATAATGTGAGTTTTTACAGTATGATTGTAGATTTACAGCTCTACTATGTGAATGTTCTTCAGGACTTGATGAGTGGTTTGGTGGGTCCACTGATAGTGTGCCGCAAAAACACCCTGAACAGCGACAGACGTAGAAAAGACATTGATAAAGAGTTTGCCCTCCTTTTTATGGTGTTTGATGAAAATGAGTCCCACTACCTGGATGAAAACATAAAAATTTACCTCAAAGCAGACCCAGAAAAGTTTGACAAATATGATGGGGACTTTATGGAGAGCAACAAAATGCATGGTAATTGTGTGTGTGTGTGTGTGTGTGTCATTGTGTGTGTTACAAGTTTATTGGAGAAATACATGGTGCTTTCAGTTTTACTTTTTTGAAGAACAAAATTCTCTCTCTCTTCCACAGGCATTAACGGAAAGTTGTATGCTAACCTCCATGGGTTAAATATGATAGAGAATGACAGGACCGAGTGGTATTTGATAGGACTGGGGAATGAAGTGGACATGCACACTGTGCATTTCCATGCTCAGAGCTTCACTTACAAAGTACATACATAAACACACCAGGGCAGATAAAAAAATATTTATGGAGTGGCAAGGGGGTGGCATGAGGACAATGAGGAGTGTTGACGGCAAAGCAAGCATCAATGCATATTTCTTGTGAATTTACGAACATACACATTTATGTCCGTAAATATGTGAATCAGGTGCATTTCCTCAGAGGAACCACAAAACTATAATTTTACTGTTTAAAAATAATAATAAAAAAAAAAAAAAGAATATCCAGGGCATGAAGACAGTAGACGCTGTCACACATTAAGAATGGTAAATTGCCGGATCACCTTTTCCAGTTAATTTACCACATGTGCTTTTCATACAAGCAACAACTGTTTTAAGATTACCATTTACACGTCAGTACCAAAATAACAGTAAACTCTATGATGTCAAACACATAAACGCTGAATATACTTAGAATTAATTAACATTGCGTATATAATTAAGGGAAATAATTAAGATTAGATTCCTACCCAACATGTTATTATAGCTGCCATTCTGCCATTTTTATTTGTTTGTGTGTTTATTTATTTATTTATTTTGTATGTTGTTTTTTTTTCCTCGGATGGCAAAAAGATCTATATGAATAAAAAAAAAAAAAGAGAGGGCAGTCTGAGAATTCAAACTTAGTGTTTCCAAGTCTTTTTGCATCATTCATTAAAAGAACTGGCCTATAAGAAGCATTTTTCATTAGTTGGGCTCCACTGGTTGCACTGTGTGATTTTGATTTACTATGAAGATTGGTTCATAAGATTTTATTTTATTTTTTATGAATACCAAGTAATAGAATGACATTTGTACCATTACTTTGCAGTACATAGTCTTTTTTATCTCATCACATTGAAGCTCTGCTGCGAAAAGCAGACTAGGAGACACTGCTTACATTTACATTTTATACATTGAGATACCGAATGCTAGGGTGACCTCCCCTCCATGCCACCCCGGTAGATCCACTCCCGAAACACGCTAATGCATAAATACAGCTTAAGTGTTAAAATGTCTCTCAAACACTGATTTTCTCTCCCTCAGATGAATCATTCTCATCGAGCTGATGTTTATGACCTGTTCCCAGGAACATTTCAGACCATTGAACTGACTGCAGGAAGTCCTGGGCAGTGGCTGCTTCACTGCCATGTGACCGACCACATCCATGCGGGCATGGAGACCATTTTCACTGTTCGTCCTAAAGGTTAGTAGTGAAAGTTTTCAAATAGGCCTGCAGAGCATCTAACCTAGAGAGGTCAGCATAAGGATGCTTTCACACACAAGTTAATAATGTGGACCCGAGTCTGTTTGCCCTTAGAGTTCAAGTTGTTTGGTTGGTGTCAAATCATTCTTCCAAACTCAGACATGCATTAGTGTCCAATCCTGCTTCTAGAGGGTCATGAGCTGGTTCAGGTTTGTTTGATTAGGGTTGGAGCCGAACTCTGCAGGACAGTGATCCTCCAGGACCAGGATTGGACTCCCTGCACTGGTGAACCATACTACTTGAGGTGGTGTGGGGTATGGTTTATATGAACTCAACTGTGATTCTTTGTTGGTATGAACTTGATCCATCTTAAAGGGGTCCTATTATGCTCTTTTACAATGTCTTGAATTTGTTTTGGGGCTGTACTAGAACATGCTCTCATGCTTGGTGGTTCGAAAAACGCATTGTTTTTTACATAATTTACATTATTACAATACCTTTCTCCCCAGTCTGGCACAAACGGCTCGATTAGTTCCCGGTTTGATGAACGCCCGCCTTCCGGGCGTGATGTGATTGGTTAGCTGTCCCAGTGGGTTGTGATTGGCGAACAGCTTAGACAGTGTTTCAGTACTGCCACGCCCCTTGCCAAAGCAGCAAGTTTAGTTAAGGATGGCGTCAATATTGCCATATCAGTTTGAGCCGGATTCAGACCCCGAGAATATTGAACAAGAGGATCGTGCAGGACCTTTGCACGCACGGATATTGCAAGACATATTAGAGTGGTAACGTTATTGTTGTTTTTTTTTTGGCTAAATCTTTGAGATTTGTAAGTTTGAAGATCTTTTTTATGCCCAAACATACCCACTACACACTGACTAAAATTCAAAGAGTGAAAAAGCAGAATAGGACCCCTTTAAATCATGGAAGTGAACTGATATTGAAGAATGTGCATCACTGCATGCTTCCCGCAAGTCATAAGCAGTGTCCTGTGTAGTATTCTTACGTTTGGCTCAACCAATCATATGTCAGAAGCAACGTATTCTCTGTTCCTATTGGCTGTATCACCTGTCAGTATAGGTAATGCAAATTAGTCAGAGGTTTGGTTGTGTGTTAGCGCTCATATTGCGTAGCTGAAAAGTGTTTAATAAAAAACTACATGCTAAAGCTGATTATGCGTGCATCAAGAGCCTTCATGTGCATGTCATCATCATAAAGAAAACACGACAGGCACAACGTATTCTCTGTTCCTATTGGCTGTATCACCTGTCAGTATAGGTAATGCAAATTAGTCAGGTTTGGTTGTGTGTTTGCTGCTGAGGAGTTAGCGCTCATGTTGCGTAGCTGAAAAGTGTTTAATAAAAAACTACATGCTAAAGCTGATTATGTGTGCATCATCATAAAGAAAACACAACATGGTGTCAGAGTGAACGGATGATATATAGAAAAGATGGATACTGCCGGAGTCCCAATGCCCACGATGAACTGGGAAGCAACTAACCTGCCCGAGGCATGGCGCAAATTTCAACAGCACACAGAGTTAATGTTCAGCGGACCCCTAAAGAAAAAGGGTGAGGATGAAAAATGTAGTTATCTTCTCCTATGGGTCGAAGAAAAGGGCAGAGACATTTTTAATACATGGTCACTGTCTGCAGGTGAAGCAAAGATCTTAAAGTCCTATTACGACCGCTTCACAACATACGTTGAGCCCAAAGCGGATGTGATATTTGCACGTTACAAATTCCATGAAAAGGTGCAGGGAGAGCGTGAGCCTTTCGAGCAGTTTGTGACAGATCTGTGTCTGCTTGTCAAAGACTGTAACTGTGCAAATAGTGACGAGATGATCCGAGATCGCATTGTGTTCAGGATACATTCGCCGAAAGTGAGAGAGAAACTTTTGAATGTGGGCTCTGAATTAACGCTCGAAAAAGCGATAGACGTCGCTAGATCTCACGAGTTGGCTCAAGCACAGTTAAAAACCATCGCAAGCAGCATGAGTATATCATGCGAACACATCGCATTGTGTTCGGGATACATTCGCCGAAAGTGAGAGAGAAACTTTTGAATGTGGGCTCTGAATTAACGCTCGAAAAAGCGATAGACGTCGCTAGATCTCACGAGTTGGCTCAAGCACAGTTAAAAACCATCGCAAGCAGCATGAGTATATCACGTGAACATGCAGTGCACGCAATCTCCGGCCACACATCAAAAGGCTTAGTTTCAAAGCAGCGTAACGCCAAGTACACAAAGAGATACAGCGCCAGTTTGCAGCCTAGAAATGCTCCTTCCATGAACCTCAAAGGATGCGGCTACTGTGGAAACAAGCGTCATGTTGATCGCTCTCACTGTCCTGCAAACGGAAAGGTGTGCAAAGTATGTGGTAAATTAAGCCATTTTGCAAAAGTATGTCGCTCTAACTGTGAGAAAACCGTTCATGCAATAAGTCAAGAAGGTTCAGACCAGCTTGAGGAGTGTGATGAGCTGTTTATTGACTCAGTGACACAGGGCAGACAGAGCTCAGACACGGAACAGGCTTTTGTGAACATTAAAATAGGTTCAAAACAGCATGAAATCAAGTTCAAGCTGGACACGGGATCCTCAGCTAACGTCATACCCCTGTACGAGTACACCAAATTGGACATGCAGTGCACTTTGCAGCCGACATCTCGCCCCCTGTATGGTTATGGTGGTGAACGCCTGGTGGTAAAAGGCAAATGCAACCTGAAATGCAAGCACAAAGACATTGAGATGGTTATGCCATTTTATGTAGTCGACACAAATGCACCCCCTGTCCTAGGGCTAAAAGGATGCATAGATTTTGGCCTCATTAAGATGGTACTGTCAGTTGTCAGAGCAAAGAGGCTGCACAAGCAACAACACCAGAAGAGATGCTATGACAGATCAGCAAGACCTTTGTCTCAGCTCAAGGATGGACAGGCAGTTAGAGTGCAGGAGCAAGGACACTGGAAGCCAGCTGTTATCGTCAGAGCAGCCAACACTGAGAGATCATATCATCTGCGTACTGCTGATGGACAGGAGTATCGACGAAACAGACGTGTAGTGACTTAACTGTAATTTAAGTCGTTAATTCTATAAGGGAATTAATCATTAATTCGATTTCTAGCTCAGGTTTTGAAAGGACTCGAATCTGAAAATTCTGAGTCAACCTGATCAAAACTGAATTCAAATCTGATAGTTTACACTTTAAATCAAGGGTCGTCCAGCGAGCCGGTGATTCTTAGTATATTTTAACAACTTGAATCTTTGTATTTCCCTGGCGACGGGTTAATACATGTTTTTGATAAGTTATAAGCTATTGGCCCTTTCAAAAGAAAATGCAATGTTCAGTGCATTCCAAATGTTCAGTTCAGTTTATATTCATGTGTATGTGAGATTGTCATAGATGGCTATGCGAATACACAGTATTCTTTGCACTTCAGTCTAATATTTTATTAGCATACTAGTTTGTGCATATAATTTGAAAACTGAATTCCTTCTTTTACTTAATATGTTACACAGTATTTTGTACTTTGTTGTATTATTTTATAAGAAGGGGGATGTAGTATTCTTACGTTTGGCTCAACCAATCATATGTCAGAAGCAACGCATTCTCTGTTCCTATTGGCTGTATCACCTGTCAGTATAGGTAATGCAAATTAGTCAGGTTTGGTTGTGTGTTTGCTGCTGAGGAGTTAGCGCTCATGTTGCGTAGCTGAAAAGTGTTTAATAAAAGACTACATGCTAAAGCTGATTATGTGTGCATCATCATAAAGAAAACACGACATCCTGTATTTAAATTGTGGTTATAATTTTGCCATTTTGTTTCATCCACAATGTAAAAAAAAAAGAAAAGAAAAAAGAAAACATCATGTTCTAGCTAGTGCAGGAACCTCTAATAATAGCAGGTTATTTCTCTACCATGTGTCCTGCATTACATCTGCTGATCTGCAACAGAACAATAATCAGGCAGTCACCCTTGAGCCCCTTTTTTGATTCTTTGATGATTCTCATTAGGTTGTGTTTAAAATTGATGTGAAATACTGCCAATACTGCCATTTCCTCCCTCTTTTCCTTACTTTGCTTCATTCTAAGCTCCACAGTACAACCTCTGCTGCTGTGATAAGTAAACTAAAGGCTTCTTTTGCACGGCACGGCATTCCCAAAGCTGTCATCTCAGACAACGGCCCCCAGTACAGCTCTGGTGAGTTTGAATCATTTGCAAAAACATGGGAATTTACACATACTACCACAAGCCCATACCACCCACAAAGTAATGGTTTAGCAGAGAAATCTGTGCACACTGCAAAGATGTTACTGGGAAAAGCCAAAGCTGACAAAAGTGACCCATACCTTAGTCTCCTGGAGTATCGCAACAGCCCTGTTGATGGATTCAAGTCCCCAGCTCAGCTGTTAATGAGTCGCCGTCCGCGGTCAACCTTACCCAATACCAATCAGCAGCTCCTGCCAAAGGTTGTCAGCTTTAAGGATGTCAGAGCAAAGAGGCTGCACAAGCAACAACACCAGAAGAGATGCTATGACAGATCAGCAAGACCTTTGTCTCAGCTCAAGGATGGACAGGCAGTTAGAGTGCAGGAGCAAGGATACTGGAAGCCAGCTGTTATCGTCAGAGCAGCCAACACTGAGAGATCATATCATCTGCGTACTGCTGATGGACAGGAGTATCGACGAAACAGACGCCACCTCCTGGACACAAAAGAATCTCAAATTGACAGTTCTGACGTATCAGTAAGGAATGAAGGTGCTGAACTATGTGCAACATCAACCAACAGTAGACCACACAATGACATTGTACACGCACCTGACCACACTGATGGGCTGCCCAAATGCACTACTTACAGAACCAGATATGGACGACAGATAAAACCCAGAGTCATTCTGGATCTGTGATTGTACAAGGGTGTAGGCGGATCGCTGCCCTTTCAAAAGAAAATGCAATGTTCAGTGCATTCCAAATGTTCAGTTCAGTTTATATTCATGTGTAT